TAAATCCAAAGTTTTGAATGATTGTTTGTTGTATGCATCACCCTATCTCTCAAAAATTCCGAATCGATCGAAACAATAGCTTCACGTTTCCACCATACACCCCACGATACAATGTAGCTTCTAGAATGTAGACACATGCATCATCCATGTCCTTCACGTTCCATCTCTTGTACACCTTAAGTTCTTGTTAGTATTATTTTATGGAGGAGGCAAATGGAAAACTAACACATTGCTTTCTACAATCAATGAAAGCAACTACCAAACACAAAGAGAGTCAAAACACAACATCATTACTCTCCCACACCACATACCCTACAGTTTATGGCACTTGACCTTTCGTCAAACATTTCTCGAAAAGATTCATCAACCTCCTCTTTGGCAAATGGTTATTTGTTTCTCTAACTTTTCGTGTGCGTCTTACTGTTCAAATGCCTCTTCTGTTGATCAACTAATCATTTTGTCTTTTCAAAAAACAAGTAGATCTAGCCTGAATTATTAATTAACCTATAGTATTGCTTATAAACAAAATTTCAAGTTAATTGAAATTTTTATCTACAATAACTTATTATAATTTATGTTAATTTAATGATGTATAATCTACAATCGATGCTAATTTATAATTTATGTTAATTTAATAGTTAATCTTTTAAGTTAAGTAAGATTTGTTATAATCGATGTTGAATTTAAACCTCTTATAAAAGATTATAAATTTATTATTGTATTTGTTTTCTACATCAATTATTAAATAATTGATATAAAATAATGTTTAATTTAAAACAAATTTGATAATATTATTAGTTATTTTATTTTTTTCTATATCAATTATAAAATAATTAATATAATATAATGTTTAATTTAAAATAAATTTGATAATATTATTAATGTCTATCATTATCTATTTTTAAATTTTATCTTTTAAGAATACTTTAATATATTAATAAAGGAGTATCTATATATATATATATCTATCTATTATCTGTCTATCGACTTCTTATATATACAATACCATAAATTATATAAATATACTGTAAATATAATTTGATATGACCTAATTGATTTCATTAATGATTTAAGCTAACTAACCATAAATAATGTTTTTGAAATTAATAATGGATTGAATATTTAAAAACAATAAAAGCTTAAAACCACCCTTATTCCAAGCTTCAACTTACATATGTCTCTTACCCCAATAATGAGTCCTACCATCCCAAATTATACAAAATTTGAATAATAAAACCATTTCTATTCTGTGCAAGCAATTATTCCACTTTGATCACAATGGCCACGTTCTTTGTAGTAATTAGAGTCTCAGAGACTAACACCCTCTCCATTAATTTACTTCACTTTCATTGCTGAATCACTTTCTCTAACCTAAGTTTGTAACTACCCAGGTTTCATTGCACACAATCGTATATAAACACTTCCAAGGTTTTTTTTTTATGATCATTCACAACCTCTTTCAAAAATTGCTCAACAAAGACTAAAGAAAAAGGTGTGTTCAATTCTCTTCTCCTTCTTCCCTCTTATTTTAATGTGTTCTTACATTTACACTTACGTTGCTAGTATTTTGTGGTTGTTTTCTTTTGCTAATGGAGACAATAATCTTTCATTGCTATGCAAAGTCTTAGGTTTATTTGGTATTGTGAGTGATTTTTAGGTTTTTATATTCAATGTAGTTTTTAAATTGTGATCCATAAAATGGAGTTAAATTTAATTTTAAAACACCTTTATATTTACTTTTAAAAAAATTGTAAATCTAGTTTTAGTTTTTTTTTTAAGAAAAAAATATAAGTTTACTACCTTTGATTACGACTTTTCTTGTGACAGTCAACGGTAAGACCAGAATCACCCTAGATCATTGTTGTAGTCAACAAGTCATAATGACACTTTTCCAAAATAATAAGTTATTTTTTTTATAAATTTATATATTTTACCTTTTACATAAAGTCAATATATTTAACATTTAAAAATACAAATAAATATATAGTTTTAGTATATTATAATAAATTTAATATAATAATCATAATAAATATTTATTTAAATATGTTGACGTATTAGGTATAGTTTTTTCAATCTAAATCTTTATCTTTTTAACTCTGTATAACTTTCATTAAAAGCTTTACCATGATTTATTTTTAGAATTTTTTGGATTGGTTTGGTTTGATTTTGGTACACATTAGGTGCTACTGGGTCCTATCAATAAAATAAGAATGAAAATGGATTTAATTTCTTCTATAAGATTATATAAGTTAAATCAACTTATGTACAGATAAGTTTTTAGATAAATCTGATAAAAGACAAGTATATATATATATATATATATATATATATATATATATATATAAACTTAGTATTTTAACTTTTTGTATGATATTTATGGAAAATCATTTATATTATAGAAAATTTATAAAAAAATATAAGTCTTTTATTTTTTCTAGTTATGATTGTTGAAAAAACTTTTACTTTAAAATATGTATGATACATTTTAGAAACTATTAGATGGGCTCTAAAACGAGAGTAACGTGACTTAAAGATTATTTTTGCGTCCCATCTTCATTTAATATAACAAATAATATAAAAACAAAGTGATTTAAACATACTATTCATATTCTCTCAGTGAAAATTAATTTTTATAAATATACAATAAAATAAAAAAATTAATTAAATATATTTCAGAGACAATGTCTAATAAAATATTAAAAAAATATATCTGTTATAATATTTATAGACAAATATGTGAAAATTAATTAGCTCTAAACTATTAAAAAAGATTAAATTAATTAGATTCAGTCCCACAAATAAAAAGAAAAAGGTTAGTCTGCACATAAAATTTTCGCTATCATACCTATTTAATTAGACAATTTTTAATCATTTTAAAATTAATAAAATATAAAAAATGTTTTCACTATTTGACGTGTGAAGAAACATATAGGCTAAATAAAAAACCAAACCTAAATAAAGAAACATATTAGACAGGTGACAGGTGGAAGATGAGTTTATCTAACCTATTTTAATTTTAAAATTATTTTTTATTATCCAAATAATACAAGGATACTTAAATTATATTCGCAAAATTAAAATATACGATATAATATTTTCTCGATTAAAAATAATGTATTCTACTCCCTGTGTGTTATTTAAACTTTCGTTTCACACATATTAATAAAAATAATAAATGAATTAATAAATGTAAAATCTTTACCCAATTTTCCTTGTGTTTTTCTTTGCAAGAACGCCTAACATTATATGCTTGTATGAAAAATTAAAATGTCAAATTATTTTTCTAATTAAACGGTTTATATAACTTGAAATTTAAGCAATATTTTATCTCGCCTATTTAATTTATGGTTAACAATTTAGTGGTAAAAATTTACTCAATGTAATTAAAATAAAAATATAATTATCATATTAAAATGTGTAAATATTAAATTTAAAAATTATCGAAAAAAAAAATAAACGTGAAATTGAGAGGAGAGTTTTTGAAGATAAATATGTAATTCAAATTTACCTACCACTGCATCGTAATAAGAAAAGCATCATTAAATATTATTAAATATTTACATAAAAAAGAGCATACTATTAAATTATTCATTATTATATATCATAAATACTACTAAGTTCTCTTTAGTTTTATTTTCATTTTTTTTGTTTTAATTAATTCCAGTCTTCAATGTGTTTTTTTCCTCAAAATTGAAGTAAGTTTAATCGATTCTTCAAATTTAAATTGATTTTTTTATTATTTCTTATGATTAAAAAAAAATTTGATATGTTTTAGTCATTGTTCACAAGTTTTCTATCTAAGTATTTTCTACCTAATGTATCTAAAATAAGATAAAAAAATCAATGCATTGTGTATGATAATTACATTTTAAGACAAATCTAAATACTTTTATATATTCAATAAAAATTATATTTTTATGACATAATATCATACGTAATTAATATATTTTTTTAAATCTATGTAAAATGCTTGATTTTAATCTACTTTATACAATTATTTATTTATTTAAATAAATGTATTATATCTTTAATATTATGTTATACTTTTATTTATTTATTTGCGTGTTAAATAACAAAATCAGTTGATCATTTTCAATTGTGTTTTACGTCTCTTAAAACATTTGAAATTGTTAACAGTAAAAAAAGTCGTAATTTCAAATTGTAAAAGGATGAAAAAAAAATTATTTTATAGAACTAAAATCAAAACTTATACATCTTATAATGACTAAAAATTAATATATCTGGAATATTATTTAAGTTTACTAATATATTTAAGTCTACAAACAATAGCGAGATAAAAAAAATTCATTAAACTTTAGATAAAAGAAATAATACTATTAAATTCTTAATTTACTATATATCATAAACACTCTTATTAATTTCTCTTTATTTTTCATTTTCAGTTTTTAATTAGTAATTATTATAGCTCTAACATTTATTTTTTCAAATGTAACTAAATAATTTAAAAGATAATATTTAATGCATAACCAATTATGCATAAAATGTTTACCATTTCTGAGTAGGATGCATTAAATTAAGAAGAAAGAAGAACACTTGTGACATCAAAATAAATTTGACCAAAAGAGATAATCCATTATTATTTTTTTCTCTTTCCATTTTCTTAACATGTGATTAGTGCTTGCTTACAATAATCATATATTTCATTCATAGTCAATTTTGTTAAAAAATCTGATTCACCACCTTATCAGTCTTGGTAAGATCTTTGGTTTCTATTATCTGTAATATTCAAATTCAACCTTACCCAGAAACTATGAACTCGATTTTATGCATTAATTTTATTTATTTTTGTTTGAATTAATATATATCTTTCCAAAAATATAAAAGGAAACATCGAGTAGGTAAGTTATATGTAGCTGTCTTGGTCCCTGTTTCCACCTCATGCATTCTCTTTTTCTCTTGCTCTTTTTCACTCTCTCTTTCATTCTGTGATTTTCTGTTGCATTATTAATTCTCTCTGCAGAAAACAAAAAATAAGCTCAATGGTGAACCCTGCAGTTGCTCGTAACGTCGTCGGCATAATAGGTTATTCTCTGTCTCAATTCTTAATCTCTCAATATCAACATGAATTTGCTGTGGTTTTTCACCAAATCTTTGTAGAAAAACGATTTGGAATAATCTTTGTAGCAATCTATTGAATTTGTTCGATTAATTTTATTTTTTTTTCTTCGTAAATATACTTAGTTATGCTTGAAAAAGTAGATTACAAAAAAATAATAATGACGAAAACAAGTTATAATCGGTTTAGCATTGTCTTGATTAAAGAGTGTGTTCTGATGAGCATAATCGTGTTCTTCTTCTCTGCAGGCAATGTTATCTCCTTCGGTTTGTTCTTTTCACCGGCGTACGTAAACAGTTGTTCTTTCTCTTTGCTCTGTTTTTTTTTTGTTTATTTGTTAAGTGTCGTTTTCAGTAATTAGTTTTGTGATTTTTTGTTAAGAAAATATTTTACATGCTGCATGAACTGTTTTTTGATTTATAATAGTTTATATGTTGGAGTGTGAAATAAATTGCAGTCCAACTTTCTATGGAATCGTAAAGAAGAAGAGTGTTGAGGAGTTCAAGCCTGATCCGTACATAGCAACGGTGCTGAACTGTGCGTTCTGGGTGTTCTATGGAATGCCTTTTGTGCATCCAAACACCATTTTAGTTCTCACCATCAACAGTGTTGGACTTGTTTTTGAGTTTTTCTATCTTACTATATATTATATCTATGCAACCAACAAAGGACGGGTGCGTATCTTTTCCCTCTTATACCATTCATTTCAACATTTTCATTATCTAATATGGTCCCACTTAATTGACCCTTTTCTCTTCCTATAATGTCTAGAGTCACCTATATTTAGCTCTCTTTTTGACCCTTGTCCTCTCATCTTTCAACAATCATCAATCACCAATCTCATTTCTTTGTTTTTACATAGTCATCTCATATGGAAATATTAGGATACCTGCCAAATTAATTCTATATTAAGTTTAAAGAGATACCCAGGAACAAAGAAACTTCTCTTCTTTCAAATGTTCTGCCATAATTCTATTACCTTTGAAATTGAATATTCTCATTCTGACACTTACTGTCTCTTCTCTAACTTCAGAAGAAGGTATTAATTTTTCTTCTCATCGAGGCTATTTTCTTTGCTGTGGTTGCTCTCATAACAATGCTGGCACTGCATAGCACTAAAAAAAGATCGTTAGTGGTGGGTATTCTCGCTGATGTCTTCAATGTTATGATGTATGTTTCTCCTCTTACAGTTATGGTAAGTCTTCTATTTAATAAATTTCTATCACAGAACTTACATTATAGAGCCATACATAAATCTAACAATTCATGTGTAACATTTTTCGCACCATGTTATGTGTCTTTTGTATATATGATGAATAGGCAAAGGTCATAAAAACCAAGAGCGTGAAATACATGCCATTCTGGCTCTCTGTGGCTAACTTCCTTAATGGTGCGTGTTGGACAACTTATGCTCTTATCCACCCCTTTGACCTTTATGTCCTGGTAATCATCAACTTCACCTTGTTGTCCTCTTATTGTTTCTATTTCTGGTGAACCATCACAAATGTGGTTGGTTTGAATGAGAATGGATTAAGGGTCTTAAACAAGTAGTTAAAGGCATCAAATTATAGCTTGTGTAAGGATAAAATTTGGTTCGAAGGTATAGGGATTTAAATCATGACTTGACGTGTGAAAGAAAATTTCTGATTAGAAAGCACTCTATTAGATGTTGTTATGGATTCAAATTAATTTAATGACCGGGTGATGTAAACATCCATATTAAAAAACGAAAACTGGATTGATTCGTAATGAAGAAATACAAATTCTATCAATTCATCACTACTAAAAGAAATAGTTATTTTTTTCAATTATTTAAATTTGTAAAAAATTATTTTTTACAAATTTTTATAAAAAAACAGTTACAAAAATATTCTCATAAAATATGACAATTTTTAATAGTGCATAAAATAGTTAATTCAGTTAAAAAAATGATCTAAATTTATATTTTTTCTCAAAACTATCTTTATCATTAATATTTTTTTCTTTCGCTTTTAAATGTTTATCAATGTATTATCTCATTATTATTATTATTATTATTATTATTATTTAGTATTCTGATATAAAATTAATTAACAAATGCAAGAAACACTATGAATTGAGATTTATAAAAAGAAATAAACACCACTTTTAATTTGAAGCTCATCAATTCGATGTCGTAAAAAAATTATTACAAATCCAATATAAACATGCCCATTCCTATAATTTACCTTTGAGTGTTCATATTCTCCATTAGTTTGGTAAATGATCGAGAATAATATATACTCCTTAGAATGACTTGCATATATGTAAGAAATTATTGATGCTGTTCTCATTCTTACCCTGTGTTACCTTTGTATAATAATAATATTTCAGATCAGCAATGGTATTGGAGCACTCTCTGGACTTGTTCAGCTCGCATTATATGCTTGCTACAGTTCCTACAAGAGTGAAAAAGATGACGATGTTGATCATGATTTGAAACCAAATGGGGTTCAGCTCTCCAACATAAATGGAACAGTGGCAGTGTGATGATGCATCACATCAATTCATCCCTTCTTTTTTTCTCTTGTTTACTCCTTCTTCCTTATACTTCTTTCTGCCTTTTAAATTTCAGTTGCAAAAAGGAGATTTATCTATAGATAGATATATGCGATGGTTGCTTTCATAACATGCATGTGTTGCGTGCTTAATGTCAAAATTTACTTCCCACATTTTCAACCTTTGGAACTGAGTCAAATGTGAAAATATTTTGTGAAACAATGTAATTTCAGTTAAATTTGGTTTTAGAAGTCAGATTATTAATTTTGTTTTAAGACTTAGATCAACATTATGATAAGGTAAAATAAAAGAACATGCATGTTATAATCTCATATTTTGATCAACATTTTGTTTGAAGTTCACGTAAGTTCGCGAATCATGAATAAACTCACATAGGATTTGAGTTTAATGGATTAAACATACTGTTCATACTCTCTCAGTGAAAATTAATTTTTATAAATATAAAATAAATTAATTAAATATGTTACAGAGACAATGTTTAATAAAAGATTTACAAAAAATGATATATTTTAGTCATTGTTCAGAAGTTTTCTATCTAAGTATTTTCTACCTAATGTATCTAAAATAAAATAAAAAATCAATGCATTTTGCATGATAATTACATTTTAAGACAAATCTAAATATTTTTATATATTCAATAAAAATTATATTTTTATTACATAATATCATACGTAATTAATATATTTTTGTAAATCTATGTAAAATGCTTGATTTTAACTTTATGTAATTATTTATTTATTTGAATAAACGTATTTATCTGTAATATTATGTTATACTTTTATTTATTTATTTATTTGCTTGTTAAATAACAAAATCAGTTGATCATTCTCAATTGTGTTTTACGTCTTTAAAAACATTTGAAATTGTTAACAATAAAAAAAGTCGTAATTTCAAATTCTAAAAGGATGAAAAAAAAAACAAATTATTTTATAGAACTAAAATCACTTATACATCTTATAATGACTAAAAATTAATATAGGTGGAATATTATTTAAGTTTACTAATATATTTAAGTCTACAAACAATAGCAAGATAAAAAAAAATTTCATTAAAATTTAGATAAAAGAAATAATACTATTAAATTCTTAATTTACTATATATCATAAACACTCTTATTAATTTCTCTTTATTTTTCATTTTCAGTTTTTAATTAGTAATTATTATAGCTCTAACATTTATTTTTTCAAATGTAACTAAATAATTTAAAAGACAATATTTAATGCATAACCAATTATGCATAAAATGTTTACCATTTCTGAGTAGGATGCATTAAATTAAGAAGAAAGAAGAACACCTGTGACATCAAAATAAATTTGACCAAAAGAGATAATCCATTATTATTTTTTTCTCTTTCCCTTTTTTTAACATGTGATTAGTGCTTGCTTACAATAATCATATATTTCATTCATAATTAATTTTGTTAAAAAATCTGATTCACCACCTTATCAGTCTTGGTAAGATCTTTTGTTTGTATGATATGTAATATTCAAATTCAACCTTACCCAGAAACTACGAACTCAATTTTATGCATTAATTTTATTTATTTTTGTTTGAATTAATATATATTTTTCCAAAAATATAAAAGGAAGCATCTAGTAGGTAAGTTATATGTAGCTGTCTCTGGTCCCTGTTTCCACCTCATGCATTCTCTTTTTCTGTTTCTCTTTTTCACTCTCTCTTTCATTCTGTGATTTTCTGTTGCATTATTAATTCTCTTTGCAGAAAACAAAAAATAAGCTCAATGGTGAACCCTGCAGTCACTACTAGAAAATATACTTTCAACGTCGCTGTTTAACGTCGGTTACATGTTACTCGACGTTGAAAATGATTTCAACGTCGGTTGGTCAAAAACCGACATAAAAAATATACCTTTTGACACATTCTACGTCGTTTTAGCATGAACGACGTGGAAAGTAGGCTTTCCACGTCGGTTATACCCTTACCCGACGTTGAAAACCCTTCTGAACTCATTATGACCGATCAGAATACAAATATGACCGATCAGAATAAGATGTGATCGATCAGATTTTAATTATGAGCGATCAGAAGTGTTTCAATCGATTAAAAACACGTTTCAATCGATTAAAATGTCTTAAAGTGTCAGGATTCTACGTCAAGTAGGCTTTCAACGTCGGTTATGCCCTAACCCGACGTTGAAAACCCTTCTAAACCCATTATGACCGGTCAGACTACAAATATGACCGATCAGAACCATATGTGATCGATCAGATTTTATTTATGAGCGATCAGATCAGAAGTTTTTCAATTGATTAAAAACACGTTTCAATCGATTAAAATCTCTTCCAGGGTCTGGATGATCGATCAGAATCCAGTTATGACCGATCAGAACTGTTTTAATCGATTAAATCTTGTTTCAATCGATTGAAATATATGACTACTGGAGATAAAACGAGTTTCAACGTCGGGTGTGGGTATAACCGACGTTGAAACCTTGTTTTCCCATTAATAGCCTACCATTATGGTATCTCCTTACTCTCCAAATCGCGCCCCACTCCCCTTACTCTCCAGCATCGCGACCACCACCTACCACCGTGATTTGGACTCTCAGGACGCCCTGCCTCACGTCGCCACCGCGCACCGCGTGACACCCCCGCCGCAGCACCTCCACCCCACTGCAGCTTCCACCCCACCGCGACGCTAGTCGCCCACCGCGATGCTAGTCGCCACCCTCCACCGCGACGCTAGCAGCCTCCACCCACATTGCATTGCATCCTAACGCCACCACCCCATTGCATTGCATTAGCCTCCAACCACATTGCATTGTCCGCTCACCACAGCCTCGACCCTAACGCCGCATTGCATCCTCCACCTCCACCCTAGTGCAGCGCTGCTCTGTTTCTCTGTGGTGCGAACCACCATAGAGACCATTGACGATATTAGAAACACATGGGCCGATAAGTTTGTTAAAGTTAGAAGTAGGCAAGTTTAGTTATTAATTTAGTACTTAGTTTAGTAGTTAGTTTAGTAGTTAGTTTAGTTGTTAGTTTAGTAGTTAGTTTAGTTACTTTACTAGTTAGTTTATTAGTTAGATTAATAGTTAGTGTATTTGGTAGATAAGTAGTTGGATACACAATAATTTTGGATACAATTTTATTTTTGGATGCACATTCAATTGTTTATATCTTGTACATTGTCTGCCTGAGTTGTATTCAAATTTGCAGGTATGTATATATACAAACATTGGGTACCCTGTATAAACAAAACGTCCATTTAAAAAAAAATAGACTTTCTACGTCGGTTCATACCATAACCGACGTAGTCAACCCGTACTCGCTTGAGCGAGGACTGTACTCGCTTGAGCGACGACAGCTTCAAACAAAGGGACTCTCGGGTTCCATCTCGCTTGAGCGAAGAGTGGACTCGCTTAAGCGACGCAAGCTTCAAACAAACGGGACTCTCGGGTTCCATCTCGCTTGAGCGACGAGTGTACTCGCTTAAGCGACGAAAGCTTCAAACAAAGGAGTCTCTCGGTTCAATCTCGCTTGAGCGACGAGTGTACTCGCTTAAGCGACGAAAGCTTCAAACAAAGGGGTCTCTCGGTTCAATTTCGCTTGAGCGACGAGTGTACTCGCTTGAGCGACGAGTATACACTTTCAACGTCGCGTATGACTAACCGACGTTGAAAGCCTAAACTTTCAACGTCGGTTATAGAGAACCGACGTTGAAAGTGTATACTTTCAACGTCGCCTGATACAACGTCGGTTGTATAACAGACGTTGAAAGCCTTATATAACCGACGTTGAAAGGCATATCTGTAGCAGTGAGTTGCTCGTAACGTCGTCGGCATAATAGGTTATTCTCTGTCTCAATTCTCAATCTCTCAATATTAACATGAATTTTCACCAAATCTGTGTAGAAAAACGATTTGGAATAATTATGTGTTGTAAAAGCCGATTGAGATACGAACAAACTTTATTCCTTGCGCAAGATGATCTTATAAATTAGCAAAAAAACTCTCAAAAGAGTAAGTTAACTCAAGATAACAGAAAGAAGATAAGAGAAGAGAACATGAGAGATGTGCCTTTCTGAAGAGTGTGAAGTGATATCTATTTATAGGAGAAAGTTTATAGCAGTTATGGGAAGACTTGGTAATGAGTCTGTAACGTTCTCTGAAACAGTATTCTAAAAAATAGTTTTCTCTGTAACATTCTCTGAAACAGTCTTCTGCAACATGTGAGAACATGTTCTCTGTTTTGCAATACCCCTTAATTTACAACAATTCCCCACAAATTGCAAAACAAAAAATGAGATAAAAGAATAAAAGAAGAAAATCCTGAGTCTTATATAAGATGCTACTGCAGAAAAGGCTTTTTACGTCGGTTAAAATGGGCTTTCTACGTCGGTTAAAGCGGCGACATAGATACGGGGGTCATAGAAAGTAAGGCTTTCTACGTCGGTTCCTAATAACTGACGTAGAAAGTAAGACTTTCTACGTCGGTTAGTCAGGGAACCGACGTAGAAAAACTTACTTTCTATGAGCTATTCTGATCGGTCATAACTGGTTCTGATCGGTCATAGAGCTATTCTGATCGATCATAACTGATTCTGACCTGTCATATTACTTTCTATGTCGGTTAACACTGATAACCGACATAGAAAGTCTTACTTTCTAACTTTCTATAACCCTAGTATCTATATCGGTTAACGATGCAACCGTGATTGTATGTGTTATCAATGTCGGTTATGCCTATAACAGACATAAAATGTTAAACTTTCTACGTCGGTTATGTCATTAACCGACGTAGAAAGTACTTTCTACGTCGGGTAATGACATAACCGACGTAGAAAGTGTTATTTTTTTACGATATCTGCATTTTCTTCACGAGATGCTACCTTTCTTCGAGTAGACACTGCTTATTCATCACGGTTCCAAACAAATATTCACGAGATCCAAACACTTGTACAGACGGATATGCACAGTTCATATATAGTTCCAGACATGATATGTA